TTCCTCGGAGTGTGCATGTGGCGGCAGTGGGGCGGACACTCAGATGAACGACAGTCCGAAGCCAGACGAGTCACCTCACCCATCAGCCTAAGCAGACCTACAGAGTACCGAGAGGGGTCCTGGTGGGACCTCTGAGTGAAGTGGCAAACCTGCACCCGCTCTGGGCTCGTGGGTCCTTACCCGTTGCACAGAGGGCTGATCAGCTACGGTACCTGCGCTCTAACAGTAGATCCCAGGTACCAGGATCTGACTGTTAGACTTGACCTGTGCCCAAAAGTTTAGGGAAGTCTAATGTGGTGAAAGACTTTTTGTCCAAAAGCAGCTGTCTTCAGGAGTACCTGATTCATTACATACTTTCTGACATTTTAGGTCCCCAGCTTACCCATGGTGCTTCCCCTCCCCCACCCGTTCATTAGCTGTTTTGGCGCCTTGAGAAAGGTTTGTTTGGTTTTAAATGATGCGGCCCAGGCGTTTTACTCCCTCTGTGATTAATTGGGGCGGTGTTTGTGCAGTGTGTGTGGTGTCACAAATCCATCGCTCTTCTTCACTCGTCACTCAAGTCAGCAGACAAGTCAGCGAAGGGAACAAAGGATGAGGACAGCGAAAATGGTGAGTGTTAACATTTTTCTTTGGTTTTTCTTAATGCCCTTTTTATTTAGTTTTTTCTTTCTTTTAATGGCCACAGCTTGAGTTTCACAAGGTTTGAAGTAAGGACCCGAAGTTGCATTACTCTGCCCAGTTATCAGTGCCCGCCATTATTGTAATGTACTGTAATGTAAACCCCCAGTAAAAGCCCATCAGAGAACGAAGGACAAGGCGTTTATACAAGTAGAGACTTGGTAACGGTCAAAACAACTTCAAATGTATGCATAACGAGCTCACATTTTATTTTGTTTTTTTACTTTACTTGTTTTTGTGTGAGTATTTGCAATGCCTGTCCCCCTTAAAAATGTCTGTGCAAACCATGAAGTTGTTGCAGGTGCACATCGTGCAAGTAAAGATCTTGCACCCATAATGTGTTGATCTGCGACCGTCAAAACTGCAAATCCCACAATCCTCTGGCTGCAACGCCATCGATAAAAACCATTACAATAGGCTACATGCCACACTTCACATAACCAAAATGGAAATTGGTAAAGTCTTTTCATTTCGACCATGCTCTCAACTCCGTTGTAAATGCCGGTGACAAGAAAATAAACGGTAGTAAAACCACATCGACTTCCTCGTTTTTTAGGAATTCTATTTCACCTAACTTGGTTGATTGTTGAACTGGTGTCTGTTGCGCAA